AGTCTGTTTTTGTTTCATGTGAAATCATTTGTATAATTTTCTTTTCTTTAAATCATCTCATCAAACTGACAGCAATAATTATGATACATACAAGATGCACACACAGGATTTAATGGGTCATCTATTTTTATTTCTATTAATTAGCTTGACCAGAATTATACTTCCAACTGCTTGCAAATACAGGTACACAATAAGAGAACAATTTTATTTACCAAATTATTGGATCAGTCTGTCCCTTTTGTAATAATAATGTAAACAAAATCAGTTGTTTTCATGATGCCAACAATGCCTCTACTTCTAAAGCAGTATATATATTCAAAACCAGTGTTGGTAAAAGTGAATACACACAAATGGACTAATTTGGTTGTGCTTCGTGCCATATCTTGTCAATTCGGCCATATACCACATAGTACAATGTATTTTTTTTACAAACATGTCAATTATTTCTAAAATTGCATTTACGCATGATCAAAGAAAACATGACCCCAATGATTATTACATACTACGTACAAATAAAAAAAAAAAACATCCAAAAACACAGCATTGAAAAAGGCATTAATTCAGCCTTTTCATTTTGACTTGATCGGGGGTTTCAAAGGGACGGCCAAGATCAACGTAATAATAAACAATTGTGGTCTAATATAACTATTGTACACACCCCTAGTGTTAAATGCTGGTAAGTAACTTTTAGTGCTTTTGGGGAAAATACAAGAGAACCTACAGAGTTGTTAGGATGATGTCACACACTGATCTTTCGGGTCCAGGCTAAAGCTAATTATACACGAAAAAACAATGACCACTTCTGCCAAACTTCTTTGTTGTATAAGTGGTATTGCACATGTTTATGTATTGTATTCAATATATGTAACCTTTTTGATTATGAATTTACTTTGTGTGTTTGTTTTGTTTTGGTGAAGGACTAGACAATTGGAAATGAGCATTTTGTTCAATGTGGTTTTAATCTTACAAATTTAACTGCAATAGTCCCTTTAAAAAGATACAATTATTGAAATTGTTAGCATAACGTTAGCATAATATCACGTTATTAGCATATTGGTAGCTCACCTCATCAATTTCTTTTAGTCTAGCACAGTTAATCGCGAAACTCACAGATATTTAATGGCGCTGTGAGCAACTTTAATTGTATTTCATTTTTAAGAGAATGCATTTTGTGGAAAGTTTTCTATTTGTTCACACATATCGTTGGCCTGGACCCGGAAGTGCAGAGTTTCAGCTCATTCCAGAACAGCCCTGTCTCTCCTCTGATTCCACTAGTGTCAATACATCATGGACGTAAAACAAGAAATACAGTTTATTCATCACTAGTTGTACAATTTATACACACAGTTGAGTGAGGGATCACGTTTGTTCCACCTGCCGTTATGAAAGCAACACAAAATGGATGAGGAAAGAAAATGCAATGGTTCAAGGCAAAAAATGACATGAAATACGTTTTTTTTTTTTTTTAAAGACGCTCAAATTTGACAATTCCAGCTCTTTTCAATTACATTTCTTGTCATTTTTTGGGGGCATTATATCACCTTTCGACTTGTATGCAATCAAGTTAAGAGCACTGTATGCGTCTGTCTCTGCGCTTTGACAGTAGTGCAGCTATTTCAGACTTTGCAGCCCAGAGAAACCCCCGGTCCCCCTCACGCTTCCTGCTCGACAACCGTGTGCTCTCGAGTTCTTTGCACACGCTAAGAACTCTGCCACTGTCGCTCTGGGCCGGTGGAGCAGACTACAAACAGGCCCAGGTTAAGTTTTGACAAGATTTGGGGTCATTAACAGAGGTAGCAAAAGTACTGTAAGAATATAGAGATACTTACAAGCATGGCTAACCGTTTCAGACCTGACTTAATGAACTTAGAAGCAAGGCTAACCACTCCAAAGTTCTATGTATGAACTGGGAAGCATGGCTGACCGCTTCATACTTATCATACTGAGCTTTGAGGCATGGCTAACCCTTTCTTATCCGTCATAATGAGCATAGAAGCATGGCTAACCTCTTCAGACCTGTCATGATGAGCTTAGAAGCAGGGCTAACAACTCCAAAGTTCTATAAAGGAACTGAGATGCAAGGCTCACCGTTTCAGATCTGTCCTGATGAGCTTAGAAGCAAGGCTAACCGCTTCAGACCTGTCATAATTAGCTTAGAAGCATGGCTAACTGCTTCATACTTATCATAATGAGCTTAGAGGCATGGCTAACCCTTTCGTATTCATCATAAAGAGCATAGAAGCATGGCTAACCTCTATAGACCTGTCATGATGAGCTTAGAAGCATGGCTAACTGCTTCAGACCTGTCATAATTAGCTTAGAAGCATGGCTAACCGCTTCAGACCTGTCATAATTATCTTAGAAGCATGGCTAACTGCTTCAGACCTGTCAGGACGAGCTTAGAAGCATGACTAACTGCTTCAGACCTGTCACGATGAGCTTAAAAGCAGGGCTAACAACTCCAAAGTTCTATGAAGGAACTGAGAAGCAAGGCTCACCACTTCAGACCTATATCACTCAACTTAGAAGCATTGCTAAGCCTGTAGGAATATCCATATTGACATCGGACAAACTATTATGGGAAACTTTGTGGACTCTGAGCTCTTTAAAGTAATCAACCCATAATAATCCTGTATGGAGGAGAAAGTACATTGTGTATTTGAAATTAAAGCCTAAAGGAATTCCAAAATACTACTTATACTACCTAATACTTTGCCACCTCTGCTAATCTAATATGTTTTGTTTTGCAAAGCTGACATCGTCCTGCTTGAGAGCTGCCATAACAAGAGCCATTTCTCCCACAACAATGTAATAAGGGAATGAAAGAGGCTGCTACTGGGGAGGAGGTTTGGACAGGGACTATTGGGATCGATCACCCAAAAGAAGGTGAGAAGATTCTAAACCTTAAAATACATTCAGAAAGCAGTAACTGTGTCGTTTTCTTGTGCTGGTTTTTACAACAGTCCGTTTTCAATCAGCCATGTTAGGAAAATGCTTCTCCTCTTCGTAACAGCACAATGCACAATTATTATTTTATTTTTTCGACGTCTTATTATCGTCACACCACTGCAAATCAAGAACAGAAATGTCTACGGCTATTAGTACTATCTTACGGTATTATTTACAGTGTCCGTTCGAAAACAATTTGTGACAATCTTCCCAAAAAAAAAAAGCAATAGTCTATGAACAACATATAGTAAATATACGGGAGCGTCGCGCTGTACACCGAGTTTTCATGCTTCTGTTGAATAAAAAACAGACTTTTGCTTGTATTACAGTCAATTCAAACGTCGCCAATGCAAAAGTAGTTTCTATGAGGGGTTTTTGCATGGCTTTTCTCTTTTTTTTTTTTTACAGTGCACTCAGTTAAAAGCCAGTGACCATAGGCGTCGCACACATTCAAAGATACATCTCCATTCTTTGCGTCAATTGTACATTACTTCCAATGTGGGGAGAATTAGAGGCAAAACATAGATACGGGATCGAACTGGCACTCGTCTACATTGATAAATAGGTCTATATCGAGCTGTGGTACGAGTCAACAAAGAGATAACAACTAAAAATAAATACTATTATTATAAAGCATTATGCAGCACTCAACTTCAGATTGTATAGAGAACAATTGATCAAGTCATGCCACCGGAGTGATTTGGTTTTGAGAGATGATCATGGGAAGGGATGGTCCGATATGGATTGGGTTTAAGCCGATATTTGACATACAGCGGTAAAAAAAAAATCGTTCTCAACGCCAATTTTAAAGTTTCACAAGCTTTCCAAGCCCAGAAATGCATGTAAAGCTATAGTTAAAGTCCATATGACAGGTTGTGATACTATTTTTCACTATTTCAGATGGATGCAGGGCCGGTCTTACTGAATAAGCGGGCTCGGTTAAGGTGAGGAGAAGGACCCCAAGAAGCCCCCGCAAATTGGGTCGCGCTTTTAGTGAATTGTAAATATTAAAACTCCTAAAAAAACAAATACTATCAAATGTGTACAACAATAACCTCCTTCTGGTCACCCTTGTTCAGCTTTGCACTTCCCTGTTGTTCTCACCTCTAAGATTATTTTTATACTTAAAATGAAAAAATAGCCAAAGCTTGTGACTCAATATTTCCACACATTTTATTTAACCTTTTGACACAAACTGAGGCGTACTGCTGTAAAACGTTATACAAATAATGAATGAACAGATCTGAATTGAATTTACCCATAACCACTTTAGTAAAAATGGAATCTGTCACACGCACTTTAAGATCCCAAATGAACTTGTAACTTTTGTGAATAATAGTGAAAATATGCGTTTCATTGGGATATACAGGATCTGATCTTAATAAAGAGAATAAAGTCCTGCTTTTCGATAAACCAATTGTTTTGAATTGTTGCCAAATATCGGATAAAATTGTCAAAATTGGATCGATTCACCAACATGACAGATTTATCGACCATCCCTGGTTTAAAAGGAGTGCATGGAATGAAGTGGCACGCTATGAATGGAGTTTTTTTATAATGACAATATGATGAGGGTTTGGTAATATTCACATTTGGATATAGTAGATGCGATTGTTGGTCATTTACAATGGTTTTGGGTCGCAGCCCGGACTTAAAGCAGTCACTTCACTGCAAAAGAACACGAAAATAAGTCAAAATGCTTGAATTGGGGATAATTTATCTTCATATGAGCCTCATTCTGACTGTCCTAAAAATAAGATACTCAAGGGAAAGCAACTATTCACTAATACAAATATTTCCAGTGTATTTCAAAAGGAGCAGCATCATTTTTACCAAGTAAGAAATGCTTTTTTCCTTTTCCCCATATTCTGCTCCTTCCATTGTAGAATCTCATTATAAGACAGTCAAGCTTTCCTCAAATGAAGCTAAAAAAAACCCCAACTCGATTCAAGCATTTCTGAACTTATCATTTGGCGTCAGTGAGAGTGGCCCGAACACCGCACTGTACATGTTTGAGAGAGCGTTTGGTCGTCGTTTCCGTTGATATCTCTTCAGTTCATCTGCTCAAAGAATTTGTAGGTGGGGTTTTCGTAGCCGTGGTTCTGCATTTTGTTGAGCTGCCTCTCCTCCGGTGTGAGCATGGGGTCAACCTGCAACAGGGAAAACAAGACGTCACTCCTTTAACCTTTCTGTCGCTCCCTGTCGGAATACTGACACGCAAATAAGCAGGTTTACGTCGAGATTTCAGGTGGAAAATATATAGATAACAGACGCTTTGAGACAGTTCTATTTGTACATTGAATATGACGTGATGTACATGAAGACACATCAGATAAGATAAGGCTTCATTCGTCAATGTCATATTTGCGCACATTACTGCAGAATAGAAGGAGAAAATCAGAGAACTCAGCTTGCACACGTAACAGGATCTAATAGTTAAGATATTAGAAAATACAATATATTAAGATAACAAAATAAAACTCTGTAGCTATAATTGCACTTGGTTCATGGATAAGTCTCTTGTGGAGTATACACTGTAGTTAGCAGCATTATGATGTATATACATATATTTGTATTGTACTTTAGCAGCAGAGGAATAAACAATAGTAATGATAGCAGCAGGTAAAGTGTGACTAGTGAATCATCAGAACTGGTGAATGGCAGTCCTGATTCAGCAATTCTCACTGTTGTAAAGAAATTAATTTGAAGAGAGATATGATATTGAAGATATGTCCTCATTTGAAAGCAAAACTTTAGTGTTAAAATGCAAAAAAAAAAGCTTTGTCCATGAGATCATATTTGTCATAAGGAATTGTCATTACACAACAAATAGAGCATTTAGACATGTTTTTGCCGAACGTTCCTGATTTAATGGATGGAGTCACAGACAGCTCCAGGGGTCTTTCTAGGAGCGGAAAAGACTTCGGGGAAAAGGCCAAAGTCTGTTTGGATGAGGGAACGATAATGTTTCATAGTATGTGTCTTTTATGTTTGAGATTAGACTACACTAAATAGGATTGAAAAACTAACGATTCACGTTCATTCTTTTGATAAGTCGATTGGTATGAGATCTGTGTATGGATCCAGATAAAGCTGAAGTGAAGTCACTGCAGGATATCCTCCAGAACAGATTGCAGATGATATGAAAGCACGTGTGTCTGACCTCGACGATGCCGTGGCTGATGGTGCCGTAGGGCTTCCGACGCACAAGCAGCAGACTGATCACCATCACCATGGCGACAGCGACGGCCACGACCAGCAGTCCCACCATGGCCCCGCGGTTAAAGGTCTCCAGGGCATCGGGCTGCTGTGAGGAGCAAACACAAAGACACACTTTGAGAGAGCTCTTTTTTGCTATTGTGCCACTTTAATATGAGGAAGGAAAGGATAGATACAGGTAGAACACACACTCATTTTGGTTAGGGGCCAAGTTCCAGTTTTTTTTTTATCTCCGTATTTTCACAAATTAATTTTATTTGACATGAGTTTAGATTATAATTTCTTGTAGGTTTGGGATCAATCACAAAAAAAATGTCATTGAAGATTTATAGTTTGAACTGTTTTGTTTTGTTTTGATCTGTGTTGGCAAAATCAATGGCTTTGTTAAGTCCTTTGAGAGGACTACTGCTGTGATTTAGGGCTAAACAAGAACAAATTGAATTGAATTGAATTGTTAAATATGAAAAAAATACTTGGCCTAACTTAACTTCTAAATACATGTTAACATCTTTGAACATATTTAATTATATGGTTGTTGACCTGAAAAAATAAGCCATATGCTATTATCCTCAGTGCCGCAAGTTACTATAATAATGATAATTAAAAATCATTCAGGGGCCACTGAAAATGGTCGTATTTGACCCATGGGCCTGAGTTTGACATGCCTGGGGTAGAATATTGTTGTGGACATTTGCTCAACGATCCTTGGAAACAGAGTTGTATGTTGTGTCGTTTCATAAAAGTAAAAAGTACACGATAAGAACAAGCATTGCAATGGGGAATAGGCTGAATAGGGAAAATCACTCATTGACCAGTTGCAAAATAGGAAACTCAAGAAAGGAAGGAAGGAGAGAGAAACAAGGAGGGGTCGAAAGGACAGGGGCAGAGAGAGGGAGCAGGAAGGGAACATTGTCCTCATCCAAGATCACTTCAAAAGGGAAACAGTCACCAACCACTGTCTTCATAGTAAAATAGTAAAACAGATCCTTCCCAAATATCTTCTTTCCAAAAACCAGATCCCTCTTAACCAGGGCTGTCAAACTAATGTTGGTCGGGGCCAGATTTAAAAACATAAGTATTTAAATCTGTATCATTCATCATGAGTTTGTGTATTATTTTGTGGTAGGTTTGGATTCAATCACAACTAGGCCAAATATTGAGAAGAGATTGATAGTTTAATAGTAACATAACTTCTAATAACATTACATTCAAGAACAGATTCCATGATATGGTTGTTTTCCTGATGAGACACTTCTTAAAATGAAATATAACATGCCATTGTATCCCATTTCCATACAATGCTTCAAGTAAGACGGTTCCCATGACGTTCATTCACACATTGCATTTATGTTCAAGGGGTCGAGTAGAACAGCTGATAGCTTTTGGCCGTTTCTGTTTTACCCATGCAGAGACACTGTTCTTTGATGAAACCTAAATAAATCCATCACTAACCAATTTAAACACAATCATTTTTCTGCACTTGCTTGAGGTCTTACCAGTTCGTCTCTCTCGATTTCTGGAGGCTTTGAGTCGAGGAGCTTGAGTTCAGCAGAAGTGTTACTCTGTGACCAGATTAAAAACATTAAAACTCATTCTTGGAAAAATGAATCTCAAATTCTCGAGCTCTGTCCTCACCTTTTCCTCATACTCATAGTTGTTGCCTCTTTCAGACGTGCTGTCGTCATATTCATCTACTGCAAACAAATCAGAAATCAGACAGTTAAAAGTCAAACATGTGATTTTGATCGGTTTGAAGTTAATTCATCCCCAACAGGTTTTGAGAATTTTTGAAAAAATTCATAGCAGTAAGAAGCAGGAATGGGAGGATGACATGAAGCGTTAATAAAAGCAACAATATCAACACTCTGGAGCGGTGGAAATAGCAGCCCTTCCAACGGGCTGGAGTTGGCAAATAGACTATTTTTGGTCATAAAATTGTCATAATGTAAATAACTAAAAGGAAAAAGTATTTTCATTTGAAACAATACCAGATACAAATGTAATTTATATGTTTGGTTCTAATCAGCATACATAAACCATCTTCAAGCAGTTATGAACTTGGATTAGGAAGTGTGACAAATGAAGAAAAATGGACATTCAAGAACACATGTTTACTGTTTTGGTAATAACCACAAACGTTTGTTCAATTGTCATGTTTTTTCTCACAATAAATCAAAACTTTCCAAGGTATAAGACGCTACAACTGTTCGTGCTAAACATGTGCACTGTATTACTATTGTTGGTAACTTTAAGAACTTTATTTTTTTCATTGTCACGTGTCTGGATTTCTGCTGCCGTCCATCCATCATCCATCTTTTGTTTACAATTAGCTTAAGCCCAGACCCGGAAGTGGTCCAGACGTACCGTATAGTAGTCTCGGAGGACCCATAAAGGCTTCCAGGACAACTGCTGTTGTGAATTAGGGCTATACAAATAAAATTGATTTGATTTAATCGACTGTTCTACTCAATGCAGGGGACCTCTTGAACATTTGTCAGGAGCTTACCTTTCTTATTCGACTGCAGATCTGAGAAAACAGAAACACAGCTTTAGGATTTATTCGGAAGTTTTAGGCTCATATTGGCAGGTGGGTGCTCTTGGACTGGTACCAATGCGTGGGGGGTAGGGCCTGTTGTGGAAGGCCGCCTCCTCTTCAGCCTCGTCGTCCTTCACCTCTTCGCTCTCCGCAGGCAGCAGCTCCTCGGTGGTCCGTGTCTCGGAGAAGGAGGTGGTCATGAGCTCGCTGATGTCCCCCAGCTCGGCCTTCACCAGCTCCTCTGTGGAAAGAGGAGACAGACAGCTGAGAGTTGGTCTATCTGAACTATGGGAGGAGGGACGGTCTCAAGGCAAGGCTCATTCTGGTGCCTGAGCGTGCTGGGGAGACTACTTTGTGAAAGGTAGGTAGTTATGCCCGCTCGAAAATATTCTGTAACTTATTCTGTCACATTGTCCAATCAGAGTTCTGTATTAACTTCATTGAAACCATCTGAAATCGCAATGTTATGATTTTCTTGCCCCATCGAGGGGTCGGGAGCCTTTTCACTTCAACCAATAGCTGCGGTTTGGTCATGACGTATGTTGGAAGCAGGACAATAATGTCTTTCGAACTCTCCAAGATTGGCAAATTTTACTCCCTGGTTCTCGGAGCAGTTTGCGTCGCTGCAATGACTGACATAGTAGTTGTTTTTGTTTAATTGTTTTACAGATTGAAACAAACACGCATACAACAGCAACTTCTCACTTTTCCGCAATCCTGCCTACATTGCAGAGTAAAAGAAAAGTAAACGTATTATTCTATTCCAGAAAAATTACTATTCTGAACTCAAAAATGGTTTTCTCTGAACTGTTGTTACTGTTGGGTTACTCCTCTACCGTTCCAATCTAGCTAAACTACAGTTGACATATGATGCTCTGTAATACAGAAGAGTCTGGGACCAGCGGGCAACCGAAGGACGATTCAATCTCAGATTGCGGAGCTCAGGCCCCAGATGTTGCTGAGTGATAACACAGTTAAATTACCGACAGTATACTGAAATCTCCTGTTTGTGCCGACATACACAGTAAAACAGGTTATTTTACATTCCCTCAAACACCACCATGAGATCCGCAGCTTAGGGCCGAGATCCAGACAAATAATTTCAAATTAAATATCATCATCATTCTACCTTTTCAAGATCTCAAAGTTGTTGAGCCAAGTGGACACTGCTCAGTGGACACTGCTTTCAACCCCAGCCCTCCTGCACCCACATCCCCACCCCCCACAACCTGCCACACCCCTGACAGTACACAAGTGAGGAGAGAGCTGAAGCAACTGAAGCAGAGGAAATCCACAGGACCAAACAGGGTCAATCCCAGGCTGCTGAGGACCTGTGCAGACCAGCTCTCTGAGGTCCTCAGCCACATCTACAACCTCAGCCTCAGCCTGGAGAAGGTCCCTGTCCTGTGGAAGACCTCCTCTGTGATCCCGGTTCCTAAAAAAGCCATCATCATCACCAGACTCCCACCCACGGCACCGGACTGAAGAGGAGCTGAGGAGCTCCTTAAGTGGAAGACGGAGCGCTACCGCAGGGCCTTCATCCCCACCACTTTCAGACTGTACAATAAGTCACTTTAATTAAATCAATAAAGTTTGTCTTATCTAAACCTAATCTTACACTCACAAGTTCATAAACCAGTGTTTATATTCATAAACCAGTGTACGCAGACACTTGGGATGATGTTGTTTAAGTGCCTTGCCCAAGGACACAGAGCAGCATTCACCAATGAAAGTTGGTTTCACAACAGCCAATCTGCGGGTCAGTCCACCTGGCAGCTACCCCAATAGCAAGCTTCGAACCCCACATTCTGGACTGAAGGCTCCCGCCACAGTGCAGTAGATCTGTCGTCAAACAGCTCAATTCCACAAAATGTGAACAAATGATTATCACGAACACCTATGTAACTTAGAGTAAAACAAGTCAGCGTTTTGAGTCTGGTCATTGAAAAGAGTGATTAATCACAATTTTTGAAATTTAGCACTAGTAAAAAGATATCCTGAAGCAAAAGAACCAATTATGAAGCTTAAGCGCAAATTCAGAATGGAAGACCAAAGAGACGTGCTGCCATACTGACTCCTCCATCTGCACTGACTCCTCCCCCTCTGCACTGACACCTCCCCCTCTGCACTGACTCCTCCCTCTGCACGCCTGTGCCAGAGCTCAACAGTAATCAGCCTCAGCTGGTCAGTAACACACCTGTGCTCATCACTTCATGGCTGCATTCAAACAAAGCCTCTCAATTCTCTGCAGCTCCAGCTGCTGTTCGAGCAACAACCCACCTCCTCCTCATCACTGCCTCTTCAGTGGAGGATTATGTCATGTCTTCGGCTCAGCATTTTCGCCACCAGGTTCTAGGCCCCGAGGGGTCGCAAGCTCATAATTTCTATTAAACTCCCTTCTGCATACGTCATGCAGTATTCCCGCCGGGGTCTAATCGCCAAAGCTTATCAATAAATAAAATAGAACTCAATCTAAGTCTGCTAGTGTCTATTCATGCATCTAAAGAATGAATATTCTAATGCAATCTTTGTCTCAAGTTTCTCCAGATTGGAACTAACCGATGCCACTAGATATATAATAATTTGGTTTGTGACTTTGAATATTCTCACTCACACGTCTCATTACTGAACTAACAGTCAAAGTGTTGTGGTGGGTAGAAAAGGTGCCTTGAAAGGTCTCGTTCCGCATGTGAAAGGGTGCTCTTACGAATATCGCTGTGCAGCTCTTTGGCCAGAGTGGGGTCTTTGTAGAGCAGGGCCAGGCTCTGGTTCATGCGCTCCTCAATCACGTGGAGGTGAGTGTAAACCTGTGAAGCATTAAAAAAAAACATGAGTCACACTTACAAGAAGAACGCACGCAAACTATTGTTCTTCATCAGCATTTATGACCTTTTGGCCCACTTTATACTCTACGTTTGAGACATGCTTTGATCGCCATAAGAATGCATACCCTTACTTAACCATTACTTTCTTACCAGTGCATATTTTCAATTTGGGGTCTTTCAGAAAGTGCATTGCAAACATTTGATAACAAGTCATTCATGACTAAAAGTCATTGTGACAAGATATGATAAAAACAAATTTGATAAAGAGGAAAGTTATTATGTCAGATACTTCAAGAAATGTGTGAAATACTCAAGAATGATCAAATAACTAGAACTAAATGGACAACATCAATTCAAAACAAGAGTACAGCCCTAGATAACTTTCTTGAGGTTGAGAATCACCCAGATGATTGCATGGACAAATAATGTTCAAACCCTACTTTGGTTTTTGACAGTGACATTTTCATTAGTTTTTATGTATTTTCTGATAATGTTAATAATAAATGTATCTACTGTATTTTGCACCTTACATTTCCAGGAAACCTCAAAGTGCAACATTAAAATACAATACAAAAACAAACCAAAAAACAACACATATCTTCAAATATACCTGAATTTCTCTATCAAACCAAAATGTAAAAGTAATTTTATTCTAAATGCATTAATCTTTTATTTTCTACGGTTACATTGTAGCGGTGTGTTCTCGAGTCTGAGGCACATGCCGTCTCTCACACGTTTACTCTGCAGAATGTGTCATGTTTGGGACTTATACCTGGAACTTCATCTGCTCTGCCTTCTGTGGATCCACGGCCACAATGTGACGGTAGTGTCTGAGCGTGTGTCTGCGGTCCTTCTGCTCCGCGGCGATGTACCTCTTCAGGGCCTGCAGCACGCGCTCTGGCTGCGGATGCAAAACACCCACACCAGGCGTGAGACCAGACACATGAGAGTCACTCGACATTCAACAACATCTATGGGCATTTATGGACATTGGTCATCTCTCGCGTACGGACAAATGGCTCTGTGTGTTTTTATCATTGCATTCTTGTGTTTGAACTGTTTGATTATCTGATCTGTATTGGCGAATTCAACGGTTTTGTAAAGTCCTCCGAGTAAACTACTGTTGTGATTAAGGGCTATATAAGAACAAATAGAATTGAACTGAATTGAAAAGAGTCGGCCTGTGGGTCACAATATGATGATAAGATAACACGATATATGTGAATTGTCCGATCTAAAGGTTTGTTAATAACATTATTTTTGTTTGAACAAATTATTATTATGGGATATTCTTGTTAATACTAGGGAAATTATAAATTACTATTCTTTGTTGGTATTTTCCTGAGCAAAATGAATGCAGTTGTGCTTGGATTGAAACTGGGTATTGTTGACTGATTCACAGATACATTTTCAAATTGAATTATTGACTTCTGCGTTTAATCCTTAGATGAAAATACAGATAATATGGTTTTACAATGAGCAGAGCACCCCTATCAAAAACCAGGCCAAAGGATACATGAGGAAATATTACTTTAATTATGAAAATATTCTCTTGATTTGAGCTAGATTTCTGTTTGTTTGGCCCTTATTATGATGTTGAGAATGAATAGGAGGAAGAAATTAAATCATCAATTGCTGTGGAAACAACATGATACAACTTTGAGTGTGTAAGTGACAGTGTACATTATAGCTGTGTCCTTTTTAAAGACATTTGAAGTGGTGATATTTTGTTGCTTTCTGCTTGCACCTGTGGGGGGTTGGACTGCACGGCTGTCAGGTAGTTTTCCAGAGCCAGGCGGCGGTTGTTGTTCAAAATGGCTTCTACTCGAGCCAGATGAGTCTCCACCAGTCTCTGCCTCTCTCCGGCCACCTGCTCCTCCAGCGTCTGCAGCACGGACTGGAAGTGCTGGGAGAGAAAAGCACAGGCCTATGAGCTCTGTTTTAAAATCTTCTATAAAAATGTCTTGAGGCGCATTCAGACCAAAAGCTTCAAGTGAGCGCGTATTACTCGCAACTTCTGAATCTTTTGACGCGTGCCAAGTGACGCCGGGGCTCTCGGCTTCAGCTGACGCGCTTCACCATTCACTTTCAATGCAAACCTGATGCTTTTGAAGTCAAAGTTAAGTTCGGTCTGAACGTGCCTTTAGACCAGGGCTTTGAGAGGGGGACTAGTTGGGGGCCGAAGGCTTTAGGCCGTGCTTTTTGTGCTGTACTTTAAAAGTACTTAAATACTTAACGTTGTGAGTTTGTGCTGTACGTGCTGTACCAAATGCAAAAGCGTTAGTCCTGGCCTCATCTTCAGGCATTTTGATCGTCTTAAATAAATTCAGTCTTATTAAGCATAGTTGAAATGTATTTCTCAATCCAAGAGTTGTTTCCGGTCTTATCTAAAGCAGTTAGCCTCTTGTCCCATGTTTTAAGACCTAAAGTCAAAATGTAGCCAAACTAGATGCATTTTGCCTAATTCAGTTTCAAGCTAGGGCCGACAGTTGCTCAGTTGGTAGAGCATCGGCCTTTGGGCCTGAAGGTCGTAGGTTCGAATCCACCATGAGACCTACTTCACGACTCCCACTAAAGACTGCTGTCGTTGTGTCCTTGGGCAAGACTCTTAACCCCACTTTGCCCAAAGCCCCTGCTGGAAGATCAAGGCTCCTGTGGACTCACCACCTGCAGGAGGATCAGTGAGGGGCTGGTGCTCTGTGTACTGAGTGCAGCTCTGACTGTCACCCCCCGACCCAGAAATGGATTAAGGGGAAGAAAATAGATGGATGGATGGAGTTTCAAGCTATTTCTGAAATGATTGTTGTCACTTTTTGCAGTAAGGCATTGCAGTGTGAACAGCAGGACTTAAGGCTGCTGAACTACCTGAGCACAACCTGTTTCAGAGCAGAAGCCCGGAATGGACGTGTGCTTTCCATTCCAAGAAGCCATCTATCCACTAAAATGCAAGATTCTATATGTAAATCCTTGTGTTTTTTTATTTTATTTTATTTTTATTTCTTGTATAAGGCTGTCACTTCCACATGCCATGCCTAATGGCAGCTCACCTCATTCAGGGCCTGCCTCTCAGACTTGGGGAGGTTCTTTGACTGGTTGTCCGCCTCAGCCCATTCTTTCATAATCTGAAACACAATTACAATATATTAGATGATCCAAATGCAATAACTGCTGAGATACTATCTTCTGAACAGCGGTGAACTTTAAGCCGTGCCCCGTGCGACACTGATGGAGATATGTGAAGCTTTTTATCGGCTCCTCCCGCTGCTCCGTGTACCAGCCACAGGCAAAGTCATTCAGGAAATTAGATTTGAGGAGGGGGGAAGTGTAGGCCCTGTTTCAGATGAATGAATGAACTGTCAAGTGTAGGTTTTGTCACCCACAGAAAGCAGAAAGATCAGTATATATTGTGTTCTCCTATTTAAACAACAAGAATCTTCTCATAATGTCATTGTTCTGTTCAAAATGGTTCCCTCATCAAAAGCAGAAAACAGTTGCATTATTATTTGATGGACAACAATATTACATCAAATTTCTTCTTTAAGGCAGAAACTTCACTCCAAGGTAAAGCATTTCATTTGACCTGAGAAATCCTCAAATCTAATCTATTGGTCACATTGCGTAACAAATTTGACTTTACTCTCCTCTCTCTGCTCTTTTCTACCCTGTTGTGTTTCCATGATTTATCTCTCTATTATTGAATTTTTCCATTCTGAGATCAATAAAGTATATCATATCTTAATATTACGCTTTAGTATCTGGTACCATATCCTAGCAACCAACCCACAACAAACCAGTATCCAGGAAAATGTTTCAGATGAAAGAATGAGCTGTCATGTGTAGGTTTTGTCACCCGCAGAATGTAGAAAGATTAGTATATATGTGTTCTCCTATTTAAACAACAAGCATCTTCTCATGTCTTGTTTTCTCTTTAAGATTTCAACTAAAGCCCTGTTTCCACCAGCCCTACTTCTACTACTCTGCTCTACTCTCTTTGGCTCTATTCTCTCTAATCCTGTTCCCATTACCCATTGCTTTAGTTTCCGATACATTATCCGGTACAATATCCTAGCAACCTACCCACAACAAACCAGAATCCATCGAGATTTCTTAGCACTCTCGCCAATCACAGTCAGTTAGAACACTTTAGCACGAGCTCGGCCTGGATAGAACCAAGACCAAGCAGGAACTAAAAATGTACCTGCTACCAGTTAAACAGGGTCAATGGTTTAACTGGTACCAGGTACTTTTTTAGTATCCGATTGGGGTGGAGTAGCGTTGAGTTGAATAGAGTAGGGCCAAGTACAGCTGATGGAAACAAGACTTGTGATGCATTTCCATCTGCCGGTAATACTATCAGGAACTCCCCCCACCTCTTCTGTCCAACCCCTCCTTTTTCAAATTCGTTACGCTATGTGACAAATACTCTGATGTCATGGAGATGGTTTCTGCCTTTTACAACAAGAGTGTTGTCCCTAAATGAGATTGGGGGATTTCTCAGGTCAAATAAAGAGCTTTACCTTCTCGTGAAGAGGCAACAATGGTAAATGAACTTATCCAAACCCATCCTGAGAATGTGAAACCAAGTAGCTCAGATTAAGCTCTTGCTAACCCCAACAGCTGTTCGGGACTCCCTGACCCCAGCTCTGGGCCCACCTCATTGATGCGCTTCATTCTCCGCTCCTCCAGGTCTGTTTTGGCGCGCAGGAAGTTGGCGTGCTCCGTCTCGTCCACTGGCTTCTCAAAGTACACGTCCACTCCGTCTGTGGGCCGCGCCGTGGTCACTGCACACAATAGGGTAACTTTCAAAAGGTGGAGGTCACAAACAATGGCCAAATCCTACACTTTAATACAGACCAACAGAGGAAAGGAATGGGAAGAAGAAGTTCACAAAAATTGAGAGAATATAGCTCTTTATAGTATAGTTTATTGTGGTGGAGGCAGCTGAAAAATCTGTCCTGGTAACCATGGTAAAATGTCACATTTCTTGACTTAGTTAGCGCTAATTTCTCTGTAATTGCTGATGCTCCGGTTTTTCCTTCGCAACCATGTCAGCAACATGTTATCAACATATTTGTTTACCTCTGTCCCTGATACGACGTTGCCTACAAACCCTGACACCAAATATGCCCATATAAGGATATTGGCTCCGGCTAGCTTATTTTCAAATTGATTTCTTCTGCATAAAGACACTATGTGTGACGTATACAGAACGCTCTATGGGTTTTACATTCAATCATGTGACCATGGAACTAGGCTTCTTCATAAGTTTTGTTCTCATTTTCACTTTTTTTATTATCTTAAAAATATAACTAATACAGGTTTTAAAATAATAACTGCTATCATCCACCCCAACATCGCAAACCAATAAATCACCTTGTAGAGCATCCCTGAACGCGCTTGTGTGTGTGTACAAGTATAGTTTATCTTCATCAGATGAGGTGGCCGGAGGTTTTCCACAGACCTGCTGCGTGTGACAGCATGTCTCTGATCAAACCTGGATAATTCTTATCTGGACTAAAGGTGCAAAGGGCTAAATACCTGCCTACCTGTCATCTGCTGTTGCACAGAGATAAATGGTCACACCAGAGAGGACACGAGGAGGCAACAACTCACATGGAATAGCAGCTATGATTTTGGTTCGGTTTATTGCACTAAAAAATGTAACAAGAGCGGGATTGCATCTCCACAAACATGACTGGTAAAGGCCCTACTATGACAATCCATCTTCATTTGTATATCAGAGTGTGCATAGACCATACAGTCTATGGTGTGATGCGTGGAAAAATGGCGAAACAATGCAATGAAATGAATAAATGCGTTCACTGATACTGTTTATTTTAGGGCTGTCAAAAGTGTTGAATCAATGATACAGGCGCAAAACACTAGCATTGAAGATAGAGATGCACCAATACGACACACACTTGTCTAACTACCTGAACTCTGCTGAAGTGTGATCCTGGTGACATGTTTGTTGTAGGTCTGAGCGCTGCTGCAGCTGTCAAAAGCCATGCACACACTCTACGCTGAAGGGCAGGAGCAGGACTGAGGGCTTAAGGAAGTTTTCTTCTGATTTTAATTTAACAATGATTATATAAAGTTGTATATGACGTTGTTGGAGTAAACATGCAGTATGAGAAGCACACTGTAAAAAGGGCTCGCAAAATAGTGTTAAAAAAAGCGAAACAGCAAGGCCGATAAAGTCAAACCACATTATATTGAGAGACCAATGTGTTTTCTTTTCAATGTAATTGCTTCCCATAAAGTTGTATTGGCGCCTGACCAAAAATACTATCTGAGCCATAAAATTGGTACAAAAATTGTAAAAAATTTTTTACAACCCCTTCAACCAAAATCCTAAAATCCTAAAGCGCTCTCACCCTTAGATGATCAAATAAAACAGTAAATTATCAACAAAGTGAAAGGTGTATAGATACCAAATCCGTCACATCCTGCGGTACCTGAGTCGATGGTGAACTCGTAGTCCTCTGGGTCCTTCACTGCTCCCTCCTCCTCATCTTCATCCTCTTCCAGCTCCACCTCCTCCTCTTCCTCCTCATCGTTATCGTCCACAGCTTCATCATCCTCGTCCTCCTCTTCCTCCTCTTCTTCCACCACCTCCTCTTCCTCCTCCTCTTCGTCCAGCTCTGGTTCAGGGGATGGACTCGGAGTAGGCACCTTCAGTCTGTGCCAAAAAAATCAACAACAAACATTAAAGCTTGGGTACCTAACGTTTTCATTAATAATTCTGTACATGTTATTTGTTCCAACAGAAAGCTTTGAAAAAGTAAAATATCGTAAACAGATTATGCCACAAAATGCTTTATTAATTTTGTATTTTAAAACAGGCACAATGGATGTGATTTTCAGCCAAAAGTATGACTATCTCTACATCATTATCATCAGGGCAGTCCAAACAATCCATGTAATACCAAAATACATAAATAAGAATATAATTAACCCTAAAGCCCTTAAGCAATGTCTATTTTTCTTTTTTTGATTTTCTAAGATGTCGGAGCACTAATACTTTTATTTTGGCTTTTATCAGATGATTGAGATGCAACTCAAAGTGCCCAAAACAAAGTGATAGAGATGCCCCAATGAGGTAGATTTCAACTCCAAGCTTCAAGTAGATTTAGTGACTCAAAAAGTGATCCACCAAATGGTTGAGAAAAACAATTAAAGGATTAAAGGTGGAATTTCCAATTTTTTAGATTCAGCCAACTGACATCTGATATTCCATGGTGCGTGGCTTACCCAGGGCTGGTTCGGCCTCCGCTCTGGGACGTGAGGATCTCTGGGAGCTCGTGGGCCTCAGCAGGCTCTAACTCCAGGCGGTTGGAGCTGCGTCCCGGGCAGCACACGTACTCCACCCCCCTGAAGTGGTCTCCACACGGGAGCAGCATCCCATAACTGTGCAGCTCCAGACTGTCCGCGCTGCAGGCCTGAGACACACCACACAGCAGTAGAATGTGTTTTTACATCTGAAATCCAATATTCATCGAGAAAAACTACAAAAATATCACTATATTAATCTATAGAAATATAATGGGGTGTGTAATGTTAATCCACAGAACACACTGGAATACACTGCTGTCGGCCTACTGTATTGTATTGTTGTAAATGTGTGTGTAGACCAGTTACCAACTGGTCTACACACACATTGAGTCCTGGATCCATAGTCCGTTCTTTCGTGGGAGTGCAGGAGGACTCAAGGACAAAGATGATGATCTAGGACACTTGACATTCAACAGTATTTATGTTTATCGTCATCTGCCCCGTATGAACCAATGGCTGCATATATTCTTTTTATCATTGCATTTCTTGTGTTTGAACTGTTTGATTCTATTATCTGTGTTGGCAAATTCAACGGTTTTATAAAGTCCTCCAGGATAACTACTGTTGTGATTTAGGGCTAAACAATATTGAATTGAGTGGAATGGAATTGAGTTACATAGCCATAAAGACGACACAAGAAGAAAGGATGAGAAAAGCCCTCTTAGAGCCACGCTCACGTTCTCATTTATGTCTGTAACAAACGTCTGAACAGGTGAACTTCTGATACAGACGAGTCAGAGTCTGGGGGGATCTTGAAAATTTACTTCTGAGAAAAGCCCCCCAAAGAACAAACGAACACTTTTACTATGACAACCCTATAGAACATGTTACTTTATAAGAGCTTTCTGTACTCAGCATTTCCAGGTCAACTTTTTGGCAATTAGACCTCAAAGTTCATGTGTTCAGTGGCACACATACATCTCAATGGTGCATGTATTGCACATTTTATTTGCTTTATTTTGTTAAAAATGCAATTTCAGTCTAATTGATGTTTTGAAATTAAAATGAGTATCAGTGTGGGTGTCAGTATGGGTACTGTGTGTATGTATGGGTACTGTGTGTCAGTATGGGTACTGTGTGTATGTATGGGTACAGGGTGTCAGTATGGGTACTGTGTATGTATGGGTACAGGGTGTCAGTATGGGTACTGTGTGTATGTATGGGTACTGGGTGTCGGAATGGTAACTGGGTGTCTGAAGGGGTCTTCTCTCTAGCGCGTCCTGCTCGTACCTCCTTAGCGATGTTGTGCCAGTACACATAGCTTTCACAAATGTCCATCTGCTCTTTGTGCAGGAAGCGGCAGCGATCAGGAACCAGCAGTGCCTCACTCACGTACTCGTCGCCCTCTGTGGAGAACACACAGAGAAGAGGTGAGCCCCAAACACCAACAAGGAGGAAGACCACGTCAAAGCAATACACAATACACTAAACACACCGCAGCAATGTAGAGCTGGACAATTATTCTCCCTCAATTTTTTTTTTTAAGATAAAAATAATTCAAACTTTGAGTCATGTTTCGTAAATTATACTTTATGTGCCACTTGAAAAGTAATTTTGAAAATACATCCAATTTGAAAATCCAATCAATTTTCTTGCTGATTTAATCAGTCATGACATGCACATAAGGCCATTCTGGGTTATTAATTGATAATTTCACAATTTATAATACATTCTTGCCCAGAGCCGGCCCCAGAGTTAAGCCTCTATATGTCTCTAATTAAACAAGTAGCATCTTTTGCAAAACACATTATTAATGCAACATTTCAGGATCTTGTTCCCAGTAAAAGTATACGTATTCTGTTTTGAATCATTAATATCTATGAGACAACCATTAGAATCATAAAGTAGAAGCAAACGTGACCACAGTTCATGCTGTTGTCGTGTTAGTCCCTCTAGTGGCGACATGGGGAAACAACCACTCTGGAACCACTGTTTCTACAAAAGTCTATTTTCACCAGAGCTTTGTAAACATGCTCAATAAAAAATTCATACAAATCTTGCAATAATTGTTTTAATTCATTGCTGCATACACTATAATGTGATCTAACTCAGTGTAAAGTTATTCAGCATACAACACTGATGACGGAATGTGTTACAAAATAAGTTAGTAATAAGTCATATGTAATAAGAATACAGTATTCTGTAGTGAGTGTAGTCTAAGCTGGGAGATGAGTTTTAAGATGAGTTTTACCCATGCAGCGGTAGGGCACCACGATGGGGGCGTGGTTCTGACAGTGGCCCCAGCCCTTCTTGCACCACTGGGGGATGGTGACTGGCTTATGGGCCTCCTCAGCGTGGGAGATCTGCAGATTGGGATACATCTGGGGGAGCATGCAGAGAAGAGGAGTAGAAAGGAAGAGATGATGGGGGAAGAGGAGAGAAAGAAGGGAGGCAAGGGAGAGGAGAGACAGGAGAGAGAAGAAAGAAAGGGGGGAGAGGAGAGTGAAGAGAGTGGAGATTAAGGAGCATTAGTTTTCACATGCTACATGCATGTTTAGCCTCTGTCACATCTGTAGATCAGCTTTTTCAAGCAGAAAAGTTAAAAATAGATGACCACACACATGATGTGGTCTGATTATCTGACTAGGAACCACTTCAGATTTAAGAATCGAAGAAGCATTTAATTACATGAAGTGTGAATGAGTGATACTTTTTGTCCCAAATTTACCTTAGGGTCATCAACATGATCAGATATTGTTCTAATCATGCTGATGCAAGCTGGGAGAGAGGGAGGGTGGACAGAGGAGACTGGGGTTAGTTTAGAATAGGACCATCAAATCTATTAAATAACCTATGGATCATCAGCAAGGAGTGAAATCTGTTACAGTCTTACAGCCGAGGGAACAAAATATCTCTTGAAATGTTCCATTCTGCAGAGTAGTGAAAAGAGCAAATTGCTACACTTACTCCTCTGTTAATATTGAGTTGGCTTTAAAAATGCCTTTTTTCTCTTGAAATCCAGGTCAGAAATAGAAGCACAGACTCTTCACAAAGCGGTCCAAACATCCCAAAAGGAAAATGACCCGCAGTCTAAAGAAGGATTTTGTCCACAAAAGTGGAGCAGAATTGGAGGATTTTGTGTGAAAGCCTTTGGAAATCATAAAATAGAAGATAATCCTATTACAGAGTGTTGGGGTTATGATGTCAGAGCTGGCTGTAGTGCAGGGTTTGTCCAGCAGAGGGTGCAAGAATCCTTTTGTCACTGCTATAATCTTCACAGGAACAGACAGTGCAGAGCATGGCAGAAAGAAGGCAATGCAACCATCCATTATGAGCACAGAAGACACTCGGCTCAAAGCTCGAGGGATAGGAAAGTAGCAGTTGAGGAAAGGGCAATATTCTTTTGATTACAAGAGGTATAAAACTGTAGTTTATCTCTTGTATATTCAGATTAATTTGGTAGACGACATCTCTATTTTGAATTATTGATGAAACTCAGAGAGGGTTTAATACATTTAAAAAGGAAACACTAAAGAAGTACGTGGAGGAATAGAATGATAAAATATTCGTAAACATTTAGTCAAAGTTTCAGGATCAATTTCAATTAATTGAATCGACAACACAAATTTGATAATTGGCAAATGCTATTGATCTTTCTCAGGAAAATACCAGTAAATTGGTGACACAATACAAACATTTTAATTATATTTTGTTTAATTTCTGGGTTGGGTTGGTTGGGACCGTGCATGTTAATTCCCTGAACTATTGAACATGTTTTTAGTGGTCGTGGAAACTGAAAACAGAAGCTGTCATTTTTCTCTTCTATATTCAGATCCATTTGGTTGACGACAGGAATGAAAGTCTTTCTGGAGCTCTCAGATTTACACCTCAGAGCGAGGGTTCTGTTGTTGATCACCTCCAGGCAGAGGGTGTGAGGGATGGCTCCTGATGGATCTGAGCTTACTGAGCGTCTGTTTCTCTGTGACAAAGACAGAGAGGGCCCCAATACAGAGCCAAGAAGCTCATCTAACCTGTTTTATCTGTTGAACACGCTCCCTAACTCCACGCCTGCTATCCCAGTGAGAGAGTGCACTGGCCACAACAGTGAGAAGAGTTGCCTCAGTCCTGCATCGTGTGGCCTCGGTACTCGTTTTACAGCCTGAGTCCTGGATCTATAGCCTGTTCGTCCATGAGAGCAGATCCCTCCTTCAGTGTGGATTTCTAACTTTTCTCCCTCTGGGTTTTTAGAGTTTTTCTTTGCCGATGCAGGAGGGTCTAAGGACAGTGGTGATGATCCAGGACACTCAACATTCAATATAATTTCATCAAGTTTAATCAACATTAGTCCTCCGCCCCTTATGGACCAATGGCTCTATGTTATTTCAATGCATTTCTTGTGTCTTAACTGTTTGATTCTCTGATCTGCGTTGGCAAATTTGATGGTTTTGTAAAGTCCTCCGAGATAACTACTGTTGTGATTGAATTCAATTGAACAGTGTGGTCTACAGTCTGCAGCAAAGGGGGTTGGGGGCTGATGTTAAAGGGCTGAAGCCTCCTTAAAATGATAATCTACTTTGACCCTTGCTGTACACTGTGTTCATGTGGCTCCAATCCAGCCTTTTGTCAGACTATCCTTGATGTAAAGGACGACCTGGACCAAAAAGAGTAAAACTACATTCTGGGAACAAATCAGCCCACAACATGTCTGCCTTTTAATTTGATCCTCTTGCAAACTTGTACGAAAGAACCTAATTCCCTCTGTGGGATGAGAGCTGCTTTGCTGAGTAAGTGTGGTTCTATCTTTTTCACTGATCTAAAGATGTATCAGAAGCCAAACATACATAAGGTTTGAAAATATGGTCCCCCAGCTTTAATGACCCGTTTAGGGCGCATCCTGGCCCTTCCTTCCTGCTGCTGTCAGACTGTACAATAAACAACGAGGACTAACAAACACGGCCGACCTGACCTTTCATGTTGTGCATTTGTGCAATAATTTGTCAGAATGTGCAATATGGAACCACATGTGTCACTTTACCATGACACATTGTCCCCCTCTGCGAACATGATTTTTTTTTGTATTGGTATAACTATTGTTCATTTATCTTGGGCTGTGTGCTCCTCTTTCCTACTGTTCTATAACTTGTGATGCAACACTGAAATTTCCCCACTGTGGGACAAATAAAGGATCTCTTAATCTCTTGATATACACATGAGTACATACAACTATATTTTGTGCACTAGAATATATAGTATTTTGTACCTACTCTGTATAATAATCTTTATTATGCAAAAGTTGGAGATTTTATACGTGCTTCCCTAACACCATCAGGCTTTACAACAAGCCACTTCAGGGAGGACAGAGGGAAATGTCTGGACCATTGTCTTGCAGTGACTTAACTTCTCTTTTCATGTATTTATGATAATTCTTAATGATCTGTTTTTCTTTTAACCTGCTCTGTTTGTGCGAATGTGAGGAACTAATGCACAATTTCCTTCGGGATCAATAAAGTATTTATCAATCTATTATGCTCAAGTTAGAGATTATAATTTATGTTTAAAGTTATTGTTCACTTGTTCACTCTCTTGTGCTGTGTGCTTCTCATTCCTACTGTTCTGTAACTGGTGATGCAACACTGACATTTCCCCACTGTGGGACAGATAAAAGATCTCTTAATCTCACCTCCTGGCAGTAGGACAGGGCCTGGCTGTGCTCCGTGAAGCAGCCCTGTCGTCCTTCTGGGTCCGGCTCCCACTGACCGCTGTGCTGGTCCATGTACAGCAGCACGCGGCCGCAGTACATGGCAATCTGAGGCTCCACGTCAGATGAGACCAGACTGGACACCTCGTTCATCGCCAGCGCCTGGAAGAGAAGCAGAAACAAATGTCTGCATGAATATTTCTGTTTAGCTGTGCAAACCTGAGGGATTTTGTATTTACTCTTAGTGTACAATGATTACTTATGATTTTAATGCCTTGCTGTTTCTATCTTGTTTTGTTCAGCCCTTGGAGTAGCCTTGTGTATGAACTGTGCTATACAAAAAACTTGTATAGCACAGTTCGAGGGAGACAAAATCATATTAAAATCAGCTTTCTTTTTTAGGAGTTCATGCATCAAAAGAATTCACATCAAACATAGCATTTACAGATATTGACTACCCAGCCAAGAACATTCTTATTATTCTGGTTCTAAACACTGATTGGGCCGTGTGATGGAGGTATAGGCTGCGACAAGTGAATCTCAACTAATCAATTATAAAAACAGTTGTCAAGTAATTTTATAATGGATGAATTGTTTTTTGAACCTCACATAGACTTTAACATGTTTTATGACTCTGATATTTCTATAATAGCTGCAGCGTATTTTTAAGATGCTCTGATCTATGAAGATGTTCTCCAGGGGCATCACTTGAAATGTATGAAAAATGTCATATGACCTTTTGGTTTTAAACAACTAAGGAGCAAACTCTTTCATTAACTGTATCTACTCATTTATTGTGGTCAAACTTTGAGGCTGCACTTTGACATGAACTTATTTTGTGGAAAGTTTGTTTAAAGCACATATTTTGCACTTGATTCATAATTATAATTTTTTTATGTCTTGGAGGTATTCTGCTTAAAGGATTACTCTTATTTAACATGATGGACATAAGCAATCTTTTCTGGTCGATGTTTCTGAACAAAATTCTTTAAAAAGTGTAAATAGAAGGTGTTTTGTGGCTGGATCAGTTCACTGAGGAAAGCAGGACGCCGCGTACAAAGCAGGTACAGTACAGTATGTACATGACAGCTCCGGTGCCTTCAGGATGCTCTTATTGATCTCACAATATGTTCAGTCCCCTGGGAGCCGCAGAGGACCGAGGTCAGGCTCAAGTCCAGCCTCAAGGACCGCTGAATTATAACAGGACTGCACACAGACCCACACACGCACATGCAGACACACACACACAGAACACGGTTCATTGAGTGGCAATACTAGGGTTGATTGGAGTATATTTTTCTGGAATAAAGAAACAAATTGTATGCAATAGTGTGTATCATGGTATTTAAACATTTACTGTTTTAGAATGCAATAAAAGTTTAAAACATATGGCGATACATATACCATGAATACATTTATGATCTTGAGAAGTGCATCTATCCAGTGGTAGCAGTGGATATCGACTGATTTCCAGAGGACAGTTGACTTGAGACATTCCATAAACCCCACATGGAGGAGACCCAGGACACACTGGGATCTCCCGAGGATTCCTCTGATGAACTGAGGAAGTCTGGGTCTCTGCTCAGACGGTGGAGTCTGACCCTTTCACAAAGACAGAACTCCGATTTTTTTTTTTTTCAAAAGCCCAAACTGCTCTGTCAAACTCAAGAGTTGAAACCAGAGCATCTGTACAGATGCCTCAGGGGCTCGGGTGGGTAGCACTGTGCCTCACAGTAAGACGGTCATCTTTCTGTGTCGAGATTGCATATTTATCTACATGTCTGTAAGTATTAAGCATTTGAGTATGTTTCATTCTTTACAGCCCTTTCTGGGAGGGTTTCCTCTGGGCACTCCGGTTTACCCCACCACCTAAAACATACAGCAGTATGAATGTGGTGGTGGTGGTACAGACAACCGGGGCACAGACTGATTGCCTCAGTCTGCCCCAGGGCAGCAGTGGCTACAGTTGTTGCTCACAACCAAGCGGTGAACAAGCCTGAAAAACACTTTACAAGTGCCAGGCATTATTGTTATTATTACACATGTTTGAGGCAGAAGTTCTGATCAGCATGGATGGAGATAACAAAAAACAAGAAATCCGGGTCTGTTTTTGACGAGGAAACAACATTGCCACATTGAAAAACCAAACTAACTACTACTAACTAACTACTTCAGCTTTTAGACTCAATGGACTTGTTAGAACATATATTTCCAGTTACATGCCTTTAGTCTTACTAGGCTGTAGTTTGATTTGAAGCACAGTAGCATCTGTTTTAAGTGCAAATGTCAACCAAACCTCCTTCCAGCATATCAGAATTCAATATCATTTCAATACTGACCATTCTACAGTTATCTACTCATGCCTACTCATCTTGTGCACAGATGACACACACACACTACATAAAGCCTTGAGCACTTTCATGTTCCAGCCTTTTTCACAAACACTAATACTTTGGTACAGTGTCATCAGAATCTCGTGACAGAAGTAAAGTGCAGACCTCCTCCCTGCTGCTTTGTCCCACGTCTTTCCCTGTTCGTTATAAAGATATCAAAATGCACAGGCTGCTCGAGTTCCAACTGGTGAGCCATTCTTCTCCAGTTTCCCCAAAAAAATGAATGCGAAAAAGAATCTTCCTTTCTGACAGTTACATTTGGGGGCAGGAGAACATGTAACGTGAACTTTTTAACCCTGAAAAGCTGCTCCCCTGGAGACACGGTGTACTGTAGCCGCGCACTTTCATCTGCTCTGGCTGATACGGAGAAGAGCGAGGCTGCAGCCTGGAGGAGAGACGAGGAGAGACGTGTGAGGCCATCAAAGGGAGTCCACCCCGACACCAACAGCTCTGGAACGTGTTTGAAGTTAAGGTTCAATAGACAAGCTTCATTTTTACTGATATTGAGTCTTGCAAGTTCAATATTTCGCCTTTCAAAGCATTTTACAGTTTATTGTTTAAAGAGCTTTTAACCACATTCTAAAAGCATATTTATTAAATTTTAGCAATTCACATAATTTTTTCTAAAGAGGCCTACATGATTGCTGCAATGACCGTAAGCCTCACAAAACGGGCGTGTCAAACTCATGCTCAGACCTTTATAAGAAAATGAAATCCCTTCTATTTTTTGTCCCTCAACCAGTTCCTTGTCTTTATATTTGGCTCATGAAAACATTTAAAAATAAATGTGTAATGTTTAATATTTGGTGGCTTCACACAACCACTAATGATGAGTAGAGATAAATGAGTGTTATCGTTCATAATCTCCAAAATATAGAAGAAACAATGTGATCTCTGATTTGGGAGTGGGAACTATCGAGCACGACTTGGTATGAAGCATAAATATTCTTTTTTTTCAGGTTTGGGGTTAGTTCTCTTCAAAATTGTGTGATTTCAAACACTATGAACAGAGCTACTGCCTGTCATGTAAAAAAAGGATTGTGTCATAATTAGTTTTGGATTCTCTCCAGTCCGATCACATTAATCATTACCCCAGTGCTGTGCAGATTGTAGTTTCCATCTCCAGATGTAGCTCATGGGTTATTCCAATGTACAGTACATATTATACATCTGGGAATGCACCAATACAGTATATCTGTTGATTCCATGAACTGACACCAGGGACTGCGGATAACATTTTCTCTCCTTAGATCTCAGTAAAAAATAAGTAATCTTAGTAAAAGTGAAACCTACTGTATATGACAATAAGGGATAACAGCCACTAAATAATCTTAAAGAGACAGAATGTAATCAGTGACATTTTAAATCCATCTGCATCTTTATATATGCCCCCAGTTAACAGGTCACATGTACACATCATGTTGGACCTTTCCTGAAGAAATGTTTAAAGTGGAGTCATGTTTGATTGAAATATACAATAGACATAATGTCCATAATATGAATGTTGAGCAAAATGAGCCTCTGATTTGGGTTGCCAGATGTCAGGTGAAATGTAGCTGATATTTTGAATTACATCTTTCATAGAAAAGATTCACAAACAAATATGATATATTTGTTTAAATGAAAGCAGATACAACCATAAGAGTTAATTAATAACAAACTTTGTACCATACTAGCCGAACTCCAGCAGGGGGACTGCATCAGTAATCAGTGCTTTGAAGCTACACGCCGCAGTCAGGAAGATTCTGGCAACAAAACTTGGATTGTAATTGTAATTACTTTATTAGATAACTAAGAGTGTATATTACCTACAGTCCCAAACAAATACAACTCAAAATATCGACTGGAAAGCTATCATCAAACAGATACGCAATCCAACAAAAGGTCCAACATCGGCCCGATTATTGCATCTCTATAGAGATCTATGTAATCAGGAGAAACTCAGAAAAACAGTGAGATAAAGCATTTAGACTAAAACAATACAGCTCAGACAGAGATCAAACGTGCACACATGTTGCAACGTATCAACATTGTTGCCAAAAGTATTACAAATAAAAATGCGATACATAAGAGGGTATAACAGTGAGACGACCAACGCCACCTGTTCCAAACTATGCCTTATTCTATATAGCAATAACTATTGTCAAACTAGAAGTCAAAATGCACAGAAAAAAAGAGTCGAGAATTGAGAAATGAGAAATGACTCAAGTAAATATCCATTTGTGCCCACTAAAGGTCAATTTATTTGACATTGCATTTAATTTCCTTCCGGTTTATCTGTTGCTGGGTCGTGAGGGCAGCGGTCTGAGTCTAGAGACACCCAAGCTTCCCTATCTTCGGTTCTCTGTTTGGAATTTATCTTGACAAACAAAACAACAGTTTAAAGAAGTATTTCATTAAGCTAAATAATTCCCTGATTACGGAACAATACAATGGACTGATGTGGGCGGAGTTGTTTCCATTTAATAGTTGATTTATTTTTTATTTATTTTTTGAGTCAGTAAAACAGACTCATGATTTGCACAGAATGCCCAAACTTAAAAACTTATCTTTATCTGCACAAAAATGTGCTCAAGTGACAATCACGTGTTGTTTTGATCTGTATTTCAGGAGGTAAATCCAGAGTTTGAGTTATTGATTTTATCATTTCAAGCAGAAATGTTTCATTCGTAAGCACTTACAATATATACATTCCTTAGTGTATGAAGTATATTTGTACATTTTTTATGTTGCAAGTACTTACAGTGTACACTTACAAATATATAAACA